ATAATAATAATAATAATAATAATAATAATAATAATAATAATAATAATAATAATAATAATCATAATAATCATAATAATCATAATAATCATAAATCTAAAGTAATGTCACTGAGCTACCCCAACAGGCTACCCCAATTAACTATTAGCTTCCACCTTTCAATAAAATCTTGTAATGCTGCAAATGAAGCTGCAGGGATGAGACATTTCTTTACAAATGGTTTACAGGCTTTTATAGGTAATGTCTTCACAGACCAGCAGTAGCGCTATTATAATATCACAGGTTAAAAGCTAGAACTTTTTAAAAGAAATATCCCCCTAACCTCACAAAAACAAACAAACAAAAAAAAGTTTAATTATACAACACAAACAAAAAAATATAAATACAACAAAATATGAAATTGTGTATAAATCAGTTGTGTTTGCTGATTAAAAGTAAAGAATGAATGAAGGAAAATATAAAAATAAAAGGAATGAAAATATTTATATATTCTATTGCTTGAAACTGGAGGAAGCAAGAGCAGCTTTCACATGCTCAGCAAATCTTTGAAATGAAGCTTTCACACAAACAGTATATATGATGTGACCCAAATTGCACCAGTGGATTAGTTGTGAATCTAATAAGGTAAAAAGGATCTCTGAACTGTACATGTGACCTCTGAGCATTCTCCATTAAATGGAGAGATTTGATCCATGTCGAATTACATTTCATCTCTGATTAAAGTAACCTTTAATAGCCATGAGAAAGAAAAAAACAAAAAACAGACAATGACAGCCCTGATATAGACTGTTTTAATACTCATGTAATGTGTCACACAATGAGAATTACAACTTGATCTCTGGAGCTTCCATATTTACAGTCGTTCTTTCTGTACAAATGGCCCAGACTATTAATCTGTTAGAGCATCTAAGCTTCAAGCATGAATTAATATTTACAACAAATGTTTAAAACATTGAATAAAACAGGGCCAGTCCAAGGCTTCCTGGGATCCGCATCTGGGGCCCTGCAGCTAAACTAACATACCCTCCCCTATATTATGCATTATATAAAATAACCCTTATAATTTACCACAAAAGCTTCAATCAAACTATTTATTACAATGATTGACAGATTAATGCATCACTTGAATTGCACTTACTTCACATAATAAAAACAATATCTAACCAGTGATGAAGAATGTCATAGAAATATTTTGATTATTCATACTCTTCTCCAAAATTAAACCTTATTAATTAATAATAAATTGTACCTTAAAGTATATGTGTCCAACATTTCTAAAATAAATCATTTAAGATTATTTATTTATTTATTTGTGGCTACTTAAGCTCATAAATGGGAATTTTCACCCTTTTAGCCACATTTAGATATCCTCAGTTGGACTATCCATTGAAAAAATTAATGCAGACCTAAAAAAAACAGATTTTTTTTTATTTGTAAAATATAGACTGTTTTAAAACTCAGTATGCATTGAAAAGCAAATAAATAAATTGCAAACTTAGGAATATATCTCGTATAGAGGAACATTGCCTAATGTATATACTGACAAAAATAAGGCTTTATGTATTTTGTTTTCACTTTTTTAACCCTTTCACTATGGAATTTTCACATTTTCTTTGTATATTTATGCATTAGAATAAGTAATAAAAACATGTAAATTTTTCCGTTAAATATTTAAATTGTATTTTCAGTTACCACGTTAAATTAATTTGACTCAGTAATGAAAATAATAATAAAAGGAGCAGAAAAAAAAGCAGTAAAAAAAGTCTAAAGTTAAATAATATAAAAAACAAATTGACAGAACCTATTTTACTGCTAAATGATGTCTTCATAGACTGCACTGGTTATGGTTTAGGATTTTAGATACTGAAAATTTAGTATTTAAAATAACAATCTAAGCAAAGTTTATCAATTCATACACGAAAAAAATTAGCTCTTGTTTACTTAACAATTCTAGTGTTATGTGCTGTCCCCTGCTGGTGTGGAGGCCCTAAGAAGCTGCCTAGTTCACCAATGCCTTGGGCCGGCTCTGTTCAATATAAAAACATGTCAGTGTATGAGCTTAAGTGACATTTATTCATGCGCAAAATACCAAACTGGCGACTGAAGACGGTCTGAGTGGTGGATGGAAACACCGCAAAGCCAGTAAAACTAAGCAAAACAAAAAACTTTTGCAAAAAAAGTTTATTACAACATCTTTTCCTCTTTCTCCCACGGAACTGGATCTTGCTCGTCCTCTACGTGCGTGTTCCTGCGCCCTGTCCAGAAGTGCTCCACGTCGGGGAACTTCGCCTCCTTCATCTGTGAGACATCGTTACCCACAGCGTTCGCCCCGACTTCCGCCCCGTTTCCCTCAGTCTGCGGAGACTTCATAGCTGGCGCGCGCTTTCTGCCCCTGCAGGTCGCAATGAACCAGATCGCTACCAGGCCTTGGCGCACGTCGTCGTACATGATCATAAGGATGACCGGGGACAGGGAGCTGCACGCGTAAAGGAGGAACTGGGCGAACATCAGCAGCCCCACCGGGGGTTTGTTGTAGCCCAGTCTTATCCAGGTGAACGTGCCCCACTCGGGCAGCAGCATCAGACCCAGGGCACCACTTAGGCACAGCAGAACCAGAACCACCTTGCTCTGGTGTCGCGGACTTGGTGCGTGGTTCACCGCTGTGTAAAGAGTCTTGGTATAATAAGCGATGGTGAAGATGACAGGAGCCACAAATGTGACGGTTGGGTATATCTTGTAGAATAAACTCATAAAGTCCGACGCGCACGCTGGCATCTCGGACACGCAGACAAAGTCGCTGCCACGCGGCAACAACGACGCGAAGAGCAGCTGCGGGATAGGAAACATCATGGACACTATCCAAATGAACGCCAGGGCTCCGTGGATCCATGTCGGGTTGTAGAGGGGCCCCGAAGCGGCGGTGCGTGGAATTAAATTATGTTTAGCTTTGGTGGTTGCGGCCAGGATTAAGGTTTTCGCGACTATGCAGGAGTGCTGGAACCAGTCCGTAGTGCGGCACGCAAAATTCCCCAGGGTCCAGGTCTGCCTGTAGTAGGTGACAGCGCGCACGGGTGCGCACAGCAAAAGGATAACCAGGTCAGTGGAAGCCAGAGAGGCGAGAAGAGCCTTCACCTCGGAGCCCCTTCCGTCCCTGAAGTCACGGATGAAGATCAGTAGAACCAACAAGTTGCACAGGGCGCCGGAAATGCAGATCCCAATCAGGAGGACCGGCATGACCGTCCTGGTGTCCTCTCCCTGGAGAAGTTGAACTCCTCCGACAAAATCAAAAAAAGACACATTTGCCGGTCGATCAATATCCATCTCGTGTAAATCTGTTTTTTATTTTATTTTTTTTATTTTTTTATTCCTCCTTAATGAATCCAAGTAAGTCTGGTGAAACTTAATTCTGTTCCTTAAATCTGAATTTTCTCTAAATACAAAATTGGAGGAGCTGTCCAGCGAGCCGCAGTGCTGAAACGCTAAAATGGGGTCGCGATCGAAAAAGCAAGTGGGAGAGCAGGCTGGTAGGTATGGGCTATTTCAAGTTCTGCCATTTAGCATCGTCAACCACTAACGTCACTTTATCAGTGTGACTCCAGGCTGCAGCGCGCATAAAAGCGAGCGCAGCGCGCTGAGAGATACACTCCAACCACAGAGGAATTACTGCTCAGACACTATTCTGTACATCTTTAAAACTCCGAAAATCATCACTGTGCAACATCAGATTTATGTGTTTATGTTTTTTATTTATTTCATCAAACTGCTAGAGACAAGTTGGCACATTATTTAGAAGGAGATGAAAAATAGATATCATATTTTTACATGTATAAATAAAACTTTATAAGTACAGTTGTTCTGGCCTAGAGTTTTTCTTTTTAATGTTTTTCATGAGTGAAACAACAGGGTGAAAGCAAGCATGCATAACACTGTAGGAGATACAGAGATCCACAGCTCAGGTGGAGGAGTCATGTTTTTATGACAATTGTTAGTTGTTATTAGCCGATGGACCAATCATAAACCAATACACCATTCCTAATGAGTCTGATTTATAAATTAAGCATAGTTAGTTGACTATACATCACAAGGGACCAAAACTGGCAGTTATTTTTAATCAGGGGTTCACAAAGTGGGGTTTGAGCCCCCATGGGGGGTCACAAAGTAGAGGGCTATAAAATGTTTTTTTTTTAAATCATTGTCACGGGATAAATTGGACTGCACCACCATTGTATGTACTATGTATGTACTATAAAAGTAAATGTTACTTTCATTTATCTAAAACATTACATTTTAAAATACACTATGTGAGTTAACTAAGTGATTAAATTGTATTAAAATATGAATGACTTTACTTTATTTATATATAAAAACACTGCAATAGACTGGCGACCTGTCCAGGGTGTACCCCGCCTCTCGCCCTTGGACAGCCTTCAGATAGGCTCCAGCACCCCTCGCGACCTGCCTGGGATAAGCATGACGGAAAATGGATGGATACATAAGGAGCAATACATAAGGAATCAAGCATTTAAGTGTACATATTTTTAAGTGGTGGCCACGCTGTTGCATTTTTTTACAGGTTGAAATGTTTGAGAACCCCTGTTTTAAATCTTTACAGTTGGTTTTGAATAAGTTAAACTGCCTTAGACTGATGATGATCATGCATTCCTTAAAGGGCTTAGTTAAACTTTTTTTTAAATCAAAATGCCTCCCTTTAAAAAAATTATACATCCACAGAACGTCCCGATTGATGTAGAAAAATAAATTTTACTTTAAATTTTAAAGAAAAAAAAACAAAACAAAAAAATATTAAGTATAAAAATAACAGTGTTATACATTTTGACAGGTCCAAAATATAAAATATTTTGTTCTGGTTATGATGACAACATAAAAACAAAAGGATTAAGAAACCAATAAGAATAATAGGTTAAAGAAATGTCAGGCAGAGTTCAGACATGGCCAGATACTATAGCGTCGTAATATCTCTTAGAAATTGCTTGATCTTTGTGTCACATTTCTCAGATTCAAGCTAAAATAAATTAAAAAATTAAAAATAAATAAAGAAGTAAACATAATTTAAGCATTGCTGCCAAGTTAAAGAAGCAAGGGGCTCACCAGTCAAGCAGAGGTCCGTGCTTTCCTTTGAACTGGTAGGTTTAATGATTTGTTAGTAATGATTTTAGCATTAGCAGATTCGGCAACCAGCTGGCAAAGAGTACAGTACGAGAGCGAGGGAGAACTAGTTACTGAATTAAACTTGCAGCTATCACCTTTAAATCTCACCTAGATGAAATAAGTACTGGACAAAAATCATGTTTGAAATAAAAAGCTTTTTAAATTTTGACATGTAAGGACAACACATCTAATCTCACGTTATAATAAAACTTTTTGGAAAGCAGGACCTTCATGAAAGGTGAAGCGAAGATGTCCTTTTTAACACTCATTGACTTTATTTCTAATCACATTAGCTGCTGATGAGAGCAGGACCTGTTAATCCAAAGCCATGTGATACATTGAGCCGCAGCATGTATGCATGTTTGTTCTGGTGCACCTTACCTGTTCCCTTCTGACGGCTGGGAGAAGTCCCAACCATAAGCAGGACAAATGTGGAAACCTAATTAAAATAGGTTTAATGTCACTGTATAATCTTCTATCACTCGCAGCAAGAGATTTACAATGTTTGAGACAGTGCAGGGTCAGTGTTTCAGCACTTCATTTTGCAAATCTCTTTAGAATATGTATTGTTAAGGGCTGCAGGCCATAAAGTTCACCACCAACACCCTGTTCTTCCTCAGTTCATGCCTTCTGTCCAATGCATTTGCTTTTTGTTTTTTCTTTGCATTGACTCATCAAAAATATATGAATGTCCCTGTGGAAAAAAAGTATGTCTTGGAGGCAGCATATGCTGCTCCAAAATCTTGCTATCCTTCTCTGTATAAAAGCTGCCAACAAAGAGTTGTGAACTAGTTACACTCAGAGCCCTGGTGCCATCCTCATTCACTTCTGTGTGGGGGATCAGAGAGCACAGGTCTACAGTTTAGGCTAAACATACCTAAAGCATATTTCTTTAAACAGCTCAAACTTGGAGCAACAGAACAAGTTATCCTTTCTGAGTTTTTCTTACATTTTACTTGTTTCAACTGAAAGGTTTGATGCATTTGAATGGCTTTTTTTTTTTTTGACAGACCCGCAAAAAACTGCAGTAATGTAGGTTTTGAAACAAATGCTCAAAATACTGTAAGTACCAGAAAATTAAGAATCTAGTGCACTGTGGGGAAGTAAATGAATAAAACTGGTCAATGTGTATTCAGAACACAAAGCTTGTCAGTCTGGGGATGGTCAGAGCCTAAAACTAACCTGTCCAATCACAGGACAGGAATCCAGAAATCCACAATGTAACAGTGCTTTTCTGTAATCATAACAGTCTAGCTTGCAGCTTTAAAGGATGGATGTTTTATATCCTTTATTATGTCCTGAATGAGGTTGACATTTTAAAGAAATGTCAAAAACTTGCTGTTATAACAGCTTTGATTTAACATCTTTAAATACATCTGGAGTTATCTGATTGGTTCTCACCTGTTTCTGCTGACCCTGATCTCACCTTAGAAATAGGGCTGAGCAGCTCGTTTCTTGACTGATAATGGTAAATGGCATGTACTTATATAGCGCCTTGACACTACATTCATTCACCCATTCACGCACACACTGATAATGTAGCTTGCACACACTGCAAGCTACATTATAGCCACAGCTGCCCTGGGGCTCACTGACAGAAGCGGGGCTGCCATACACTGGTGCCACCGGGCCCTCTGACCACCATCAGCAGACAATGCAGGTGAAGTGTCTTGCCCAAGGACACAACGACAGTGAAAGTCAGAGCCGGGGCTTGAAGTGTCAACCCTTCGATTTCAGGGCAAACTCCAACATCCAACGCCACTGTCGCCCCAGTGGGTAACAGCTCAGTTATGCTTGACACACCTAAGTTCTGTGCAGAAATGAGACACACAGAAATAATGTCTGCATCTTTTTTATACTCTAAGCAGCTTTTCCTCTCTATATAACATTATCGTACAGCACAAACCACTAGCTTTCAACACCACACATGCAGAAGTAAAAAACAATTCCATATGGTCAGACCAGTCACTGCTGAAGAAAAAAAAATCTGAACTTTTCTTTGAAATATTGTTGCCGCAACCAATCAGGGACCAATCAGTTGTTGAAGTGACATAGTTTGATAGAGAGCAGCGGAGACTATGCTTTTTATCCTAACTGAAACAGAAGAAGAATTAATTGGATATAATACAAAAATGAACTGAATATGCAACATTGCAATTCTTTTATTAACTTTTAGCTTTATTAAAAATTTCTAAGAGATTTTAACAAAAAAAAATAATAATAATAAAATCTGGAAAATCAGAAAAAAAATCTAAAAAGTCTGAAGTTTAAAGATATACCAGATTTATATTTCAGTGACACCTACATGTAATCAGAAATTTAAGGCCAAAAAGATCCCACCTATTCTAAACCTGATTAAGCTTTTTTGAAAAGAGAAATGGGTGAAAACTTTTTGCCTTGTCAGTATGGAGGACTCCTAGAGAAAAACCCCAAAAGAATTACATCAGTAAAGCTGACATGGTAAAATCTAACTGCAGTGAGGTCAGAAAGTTTTTGATTTCATCAATTTAAAACTAAAACCCATCGGATCCTGAAAAATTGATCTCTCAGCTCAGCCTAATTATCTGTCTGGTGGCGGGTTTGAATTTCATGAAACAGAACGCAGCACAGCGAGGTGTTTACTCGGCTCGAGGAGCCTCCGGATGGTGAGGGTGGTCGTAGTCAACTGGGGGGTTAGAGGGGTAAGGGGGAGGGGTTGAATGTGGAGAGGTGTGGGTGCCCACTCAAATGCTGTCACCTCCTCCAAGAGGCCTGGTTGCTAGGAGACCGGCACTACCATCACAGCATGGGGCTGGAAAGATGTGTGAGGTGTTATGAATTAGTGTGGGATATGGATGGATAAGAGGTTTTAAAAGAGACTCTGGAGTTATAGATCTGTTTAATGATCAGCTGCAGCAGAGTTACAGCAGAAGTTTAGTTAAATTGTTGTTAATTAAGGAATGCACCTCAGCTTATGTGATACAAGCATCTTTCTATAGATGTTGGTGGTTAAAACCAAGGAGAAAAGTTATTCTGTTCTTGATTAAGGGCTGCAACATCTTTAGAGGGAAAGTAAGATTACATTTTTTTATTATAATCTAGGGGTAGTTGTCTAAAACATTTACCAAGGGGGGGGTGTTTCTTCATGGGGCACAAAACAAAATGGCAGACAA